CGGTGCAGACCGAACCTGACCAGCTGCTCTCTGGTTGAGGCCTTCGGACGTTTCTGTGGAAATAAATTAACATTTTAAACTTTTGATAAACTGAAAACGTCGCCCAGATTGCGTCAGGAAAAACGTAAAATAATTACCAAAATGTTTATGGAAGTTCGCTCGTCGCGGTGATCCCTGAGGACGGGAGCAGCTGCAAGGAATTACATTTTTATTAAATTGCATTTTTCTTTTTTTGAGAAAATGTTTTAAAACCACGACTTTATAAGTATTTACCTCTACTACTTTTTTCCTGTGTTTTCTTCATTTGAACACAATTTAAATAAATGCTTTTTTAATTTATTTAATATTTTTTTCAGATTTGCATCGAGATGGCTGCGTCCAGTGGCGTAGCAGCCGTGGTGCAGAAGATCCCGTGTGCGTATAAATATTGGTGAGTTCTAAAGTTACCGGATGGCACAAAACAAAAAGTTTCTAGCGTTTTTTTTAATTTTATTTTTGTTTACATTTTAAGCCTTTCTTACATCTTCTCTTCACAGGAATAAAATTCGACGTGTCGAGTCGTGAGTATTTCACACGGACAGTTAAATTATGAACATTCTTCAGCACAATCTGAAACTTTTCCATTAAAAAAAATTAGATTTTACTGGTTAAGACTTGATTTTAGAAACACGTTGTCGTTTAACTGCATCTCTTTAAGTCGTGTAACTTGAAATATAACGTTGAGTCATCGGCGTAGACGATTCACGCCGTGAGCGATGGAGGACGGCGGTCGTAAACGCAGCGCGGCTCGTTCAGCCTGCAGCCGAAAGCATCTTCAGCTTTTCTGTTTGAGTTCAGCTCTTAGTTTAACAAACTATATTTACACCACTTTATAAAGTCTGACCAGATTTAAAAACGTGGACAAATATGAAAAATGTAACGGAGCAGCTCCAAAACTTACGTTTCCCATAATTATTGTTTAGAAGCGAATATTTTACTTTGATTTTGCTAAACAATAAATGTTTACCTGTTTTTATTCTTTAACAGTTTTATGTTTTCAGTTTGCAGAGCCTCAAACAGCGTTTACAAGGTTCCAGTAAGCTCAGGATAAACCTTGATGTGGAAAGCCAAGGCATCAGTTTTTACCCCCCAGCTGTGAAAAGCGAACCACCGCCCCCCGTCCACGGAGCTGCAGAACCACAAGAACCTCAAACTTCCAACGAAAAGCTGCAACCCACGGCCGCAGAGACGGTGAACGCACCATCCAGGTCTGCGGCATTTGAGAAACGGCCGGATGCTTCCAGAAAAGTTCAGGAATCCGCGGGGGTGCCCGATGACGGAGGAGGAGCAGCGGAGACTAAAAGCGAAACGGCAGAAACTGTAAACGTCGAGTCCAAAGAGGCCGAACCTTTGGAGCTGATGGAAACATCTGTTCCACAGAGTTCTGCTGAAACCAAACTCTTACCGACTAACACCAGTGACAGTCCAACAACTGCACCTTCTACCAACCCACCCCAAAGACCACAGACCACCTTCAAAACGGAGGAAACCTCAGTGCAACCGTCACCCGAGGTCCAGAAAAGCCCGCATAGCTCGGACTGGGCTGCACAAGAACCAAAGACCACAACAGAAAGGTCCCAGGAGCAGCAGCCACCTGCAGCAGACTCAGGTTTGGTTCATCTTTTAAATACAACTCCAACATAAAACGTCAAAACGTGGACCCGCATTGGATCTACTGGGACCAGAACCCAAACATTTTGAGCTGTTTTTGTAGATTCAATGGTTTCTCTGTTAATCAGTAAAGCTAAGATCACAAGTGGGCGTTCACCAACTGGCAGCAGACCATCTGTGGGTCTAACGCAGGGGTTCTCAAACGTTTTGGGTTCAAGGACCCCCTCGTGCTTATTAAATACTTCTCTTTCTCTTTAATGCAATGGAAATATTTTTAGAACATAAATACTTCAGACCTGTTCTTTAATGGTGTTAATAAAAATTGTATACTTTTAAACATTGGGTATTTTTCATCCAAGACACTTAACAAAATTCTTAATTTCAACTTCCAAAAATTACAGTTTTGAGAAAATTACAGGATCAAAAACCACTTAAAAACTTTACCTATTCACATAATGAACATATAATATTTTTGGCCCTATAAGTCACATTTTTTTGCATAATTTACATGCCCTGTGACAAACACCGAGACGACGTATTTATGGATTTTTTTCCCGTATTTATGAACCAATATTTGACTGAGATATGACCGTTTTCATTAATTCTTACTGAAAATATTGAACACTACCATTTTCATCCACTAGATGGCACTCGAGTAGTAAGGCATGCTGTTGTATCATGTAATAGGTAAAAGTGGCTATTAATGACACTGTCGGCTTGCCATAACCAGCCACTGTCGTCTGCCTGGAGCAAACGTCAAATCAGCTTCATTTTGCTGCACCGTCCTGGAGAAATGCGACTAATTTGACCATTGAAGTGCATTTATTAAGTAAAAGTTCAACTGAGACGCACCTTTACTATAAAGTCGAGCAAACAAATAATTGTTTTTAGTTGTTTATCTTGTTAAATTTAGAAGAAATGCACAGCGACTCATCCCTACGCGCTCTTACTTCCGCAAATCGGCTTTTGAAATGCGGCTGATTTGACCGTCAAAGTGCATTTATTAAGGAAAAGTTCTACTGAAACACACCTTTTACTATAATTTCGAGCGAACAAATAAGTGTTTTTAAGTGTTAATCTTGTTAAATTCTTGTTAAAGTTCTCCCGTGCACGCTCCCACGGCCTCCATTTGGCAGCCAATCGATTTTTGGCACAACACCGGCCCACGTTTTCGAGTTGTCAGCTGTGACGCATAATAGATTCGACTTATTTATGGATTTTTTCAAATTATTAGACATTTTTGGACAGGTGCGTTTTATACTCCGGTGCGACTTACAGGCTGAAAAAACAGTAATTACCTACAAAAAGCTCCTCCAGCTGTCCGTACACTTAGACTTACGACTAATTATAGATTTGTTGCCGCCATCTAATTTAAAGTCAACCTTTCCTTAAAATAGATACAATTTCTCAGTTTAAACACATTTATTATTCCATTGTGAGTATATATATATTTATTTTGTAGGTTTGCACGTGTAATCCACCTGAAACATTAAGCTACTAAACCCATATCTGTAATTTAGGTTGTAGTACCAGGAAGGTCCAGCAGAGGGCACTCAGTTTTTACTGAGTTGAATTTAACCAACATGTTTTGGTCATTTTCCCTATATTCTAAGGCATGTTCTTTACACGTGCACTGACCGACCAAACCGTGGACCTTACAACCTGTCTGTGAGTGACAGAAGTGACCACTCATTGAGAATTATCTGTGGAAATCCCAGTGAGAGACCCAGGTGACCGCTTGTTGGGTAATATCTGTGGAAATCCTGATGAGTCTCTCTGTTGAGCTCACTTAGCTTGCAGCTAGTGTATAGATAAGTTAAATATTAAACTGCCAGATACTGAGATATGTCTCTAAATAAACCAATCAGGAATTTGTAATGTTTTAATTGCTTTAGTGTGTTTTACATCATTGCACCGACAGAAATGAGAATAAAAACGCTAACCGAGCTAATGCTAGCACTAACCACAGGTGCTAATGCTAAAGGCCTGTATCATTTAACAAGGTGCTTCATTAGAAATACATGCAGTTCATAGTAAGCCGTGTTAAAGCTACTATAAGTTGTTCATGGTTAAAATAATAAATGTTGAAGTGTATAAATTGATTAATCAACATTTTAAAAGCAAAAGAAAGGTAAAATGTTTAATATGCCTGATATGTTATGCAGTCTTAACATTGATTTTTCGCAGAAGAACCTTCACAATCTGGAAAATCCATCTTGGGTTCCCAGATAAGATTCCATACACAACTCTGCCCGGGAAGCAACGTTGCTAAAGAACTGAACTTGCTTTCATTTTATTTTATTATAAAATAAGAAAGAGCTCTATTTACTTTTGCTTGTATTTTATTTTCCACACATTTGTAACAAAGTCTGTGTTCTAAATGCTTGTTGGGAAGCAATAAAATAACCAGTATTCACTGAGTGTGACATCATCACTCTTGGCGGAACCCTGTATATGTTGGTGCCCGTTTCCTCCTGGTCCACTTCAGGTGCTACACTCATCACTGCGTTTAGTCCCAGCCTTTTAAAACCTGTGATTTGTGCAGCAGTTATGCAGAAAATGATTCTCTTGCTGTGAATTTCTTTCTCTTTGTGCAGATCTTGTGGCTCAGAAGAGTCCGTCATGGAAGGTTGACGGCAAAGCGTCGCCTGCAGCAGCAGAACCTGAGCCCAGCCAACCGTCTGCTGCTGCAGGAAGTGAAGCCACGGTAGATGAGACCACTTCTTCTGCTCCTCCTGTCCCGGCTCCTCAAGAGAGGACTCTAGATTTCCAGACCATCGCTTCAAGAATCGGTAAGAAATCTGTAGTGGAGGTCAGAAGTGTCTGCTGTTCACCTTTTCATCCATCTTTAACTCTTCTCCACAGCCTTTTCTTCCATGGAAACCATCTTGTCAGAAAAAGTAAGTTTGAAGACTTCTCCTCTTTCTCCTCATTAAGTTATATTTTAATCTACAAGTGACTTTTTTAACGTATGAAAGCAAATCCTGTTTAAAACCACTCTCACTCCAAATGAAAAACTATTAAACTGCTTATTTATTTCCTACCACAGTTTTTCAGACATTTGATCCTGAAGTGAATTTAAACACAAGTTGTTTTACATAAAGTTACCTGTTAATATCACAGGATTTTATTATTGTGTTAATGTTTATGAAGCAGTCACTCTATTGTGAGACGTTTTTATCCGGATGTTTTTCAGCATCTTTCTCGTTCCATAATTTTTGTGCTATTTCAACGAATCGTGAATCAAAACATCTTTCTCGTTCCATAATTTTTGTGCTATTTCAACGAATCATGAATCAAAACGTTCGGCTCTTTCAGGACAATCCTGCTGTGACTTTTGTTATCAGTGCAACTTTAGCTTTTTGAAATATTTAGCCTTTTCTGCCATTTTCTTTTTCCACATAGAAAATGAATTGAGCTCTTTTTCCATCCTTCAGCTCTTTAGATCTGTTTACAACTTTTTACTGCTCCGTTCACATTTTGTTCTGCTTCAGCTGCTTTCAGCTTCCTTGAGCAAATTTAAACTTTTTTCAGCTACTTTCAGTCAATTTCAGCTGTTTTGTGCTCCTTCCAGATTCTTTCTGCTAACTACATTTTTTTGCTTCTTCTTACTTCCTTCCGCTAATTTCAGCTTGTTTTGCTCCTTTCAACTTATTTCTGCAAGTTTAAGCTTTTTCTACTTTTTCAGCTACTATAAGCTGTTTTTATGCTAATTTAAGCTTTTCAGCAAATTACACGTTTTGACCTCATTTGAACTTTTTCAGCCTAATTCAGCAAAAATGTGCTCTCTCCACTCTATTCTTGTAATTTCAGCACCTTTCTGCTTTTTTAGCTACTTTACAGCTGTTTTTTTTTGTGTGTGCTAATTTCAGCGTTTTCAGAAAATTTCTAATTTTTGTGCTCATTTTTGCTTTTTTTCAGTCCAATTGGACAAACGTGTTCTTTCTGCTTTCTTCTGATAATTTAAGCTTGTTCTACCATTTCAGCTACCTTTTTAGCTAATTTTAGCTGATTTCTGATGAATTCAAGTTTTTCTAGTTCATTTCTGCTACTTTCAACCTAATTAACTTATTTTTGCTAATTTCAGCTTGTTATGCTCCTTTCAGCTTTTTTCAGCTACTTTAAGCTTTTTCTGCTATTTCAGCTACTATTTAGCTGTTTTTTATTTAGGCTTTTTCAGCTTATTCCACATGTTTTTTTGTGTGCTAATTTCAACTTTTTCCACTGCTTTTCAAAGGTTAAGCTTCTTTCTGCCTTTTCATTTACTTTTTAGCTGATTTTTTAACTTTTGTGCTCATTTCTGCTTATTCAGCAAATACTTGTTCTTTCTGCTTTTCTTCTAGTTTAGGGTTGTTCTTACATTTTAGCATGTTTTTTTAGCTACTTTCAGATAGATAGATATAAAGATATATATGTATGTATGTATGTATGTATATATATATGTATGTGTGTGTGTGTATATATATATGTGTGTATGTATAATTAATTGATTAATTAATTAATATTGTCAGATTTCTCCGTGTCTTGTGAAGTCTCAGTGGAAGTTCTGTGGAAAAACAATAGTTGAGTTGTTTTATTTTGTCTCTTTTTGTTGTTTTGTGGAAATCTGAGCGGAGCAGATGAGTTTAAAAATCAAATCTGTTTAATAAAAGTAAAATGTGTTGCAGGAAGTAAATAAAACCCAATTTAACTAAAAACAAATGATTTCATGTTTGTTTCACGTTACAGAAAGTTCAGTATGTGGTTGATCTAAAACATTTTTTTTATTTTGTTAAGGGAGTTAGATGATTTTTTCTTAGTATTTAAAAAGAATATTCTCTCTGGTTTAACTTAGCTTCATTGTTTATTCCTTCCTCTCCTGATTATCTGCAGTTTCTTTCTACGGACGTCTGTCTGGTCATTTCCAACTTGCCGGAGTTCAACGACGGCTGCTACACAGAAGCCGACGTCGTCCATCTGCTCCGAACGTTTGGCTTCGAGCTTGAAGTCAGTCGAGTCTTCGTCTCGCCGCAGCATCGAATGGTCGGTGTCGTCCTCGCCTGTGGCTGTTTTTGGGATTTCAGCTCCTGTTTTTTCTTAGAATTTTACTAAAAGTGTTTAAATCTCAACCGAATCTGAATTTAAATCTATTCTCCCTCATGTAAGACATTTGTTTGTGTTGAAGCAGCACAGTGATGCACGTTTGGATTGTTTGTAGGCGTTTGTCCTGCAGCCAGCCGTGAAGAAGGTGCAGCAGTTTTTCAGAGCGTCCAACGGTCAGGACCTGGTTCTTAAAGGGTCCAAACTTCAGGTTCAGGTTGCCAGCATCCAAAACACCTCAGTAAGTTGGACCACAACATTGTTGTGAGCTGTGCAGAGGAGTAATGTATGCATTAACGTTTTAGACAATGTTTATTATTTTAGCTTCATTTTATTACAGTGTAGCAACAAATATACTGAACTAAAATATAAACACGTGTCTGTTTTCGATTCCACTTTTCATGAGCTGCACTCAGAGACTTTACGTACACAGACGGCCTTTTTCTCTGATATTTTTCTTAAACTGGTGTAAATGTGTGTTAGTGAGCACTTGTCCTTTGCAGAGATAATCCATCCACCTCACAGCTGTAAGATTCTGATCGGACAGCTTGGTTATTGCGCAGGAGTGCCTTAGGCTGACCACAATAAAAGGCCACTCTAACATGTGCAGTTTCATCACAGCACAATGACACAGATAATGAAAGTTTACACAGTTAAACAAATTTGTCAACAGTATTTGAGAGAAAAGGCCTTTTTGAGTACCGGTACATAGAAAAAGTCTTAAATCTTTGAGTTTAGCTCATGAAAAATGGGAGCAACAACCAAAAAAAGTGTTGTTTATATTTTTGTTCAGTGCATATGTAGCGTTTAACACAAATAAAACGTGTTTACATGGCATGTTTTTACATAAATTTTTGTTCCTTTTCAGTTTGGATTTTACACATTTTTAATGTCCATCACCGGCTGTGTAAGTACTTAGATTTGTTTTGGTTAAAAACATCCCTACTAATGATATTTAATGCGCGTTTGTTTTAAAATTAGCAAATAATTTACAATGTTCTAAGTTTGACTTGAAACATTGTCAAAGTTATTATTTTTCTTAAGAAGTTAGGGAACCTCAGTGAAATCATTCAAAGTTAAACCATCTAATTTTGTTCTTTAATTATTAACCTTTTATTGTATTGAATCAGCAAAGAAAGATTCTCCCATCGTCAGTGGTTTACATCAAGAACATCTCGTCAAGCGAAGCTACGGATCTGAAAAACGCTTTGAGAAAAATTGGCGATGTAATAAACTACATGCCTCTGCTCAACAAGGTACAAACACACTTATAAATAACTTAGTTTTAATTTAACTTAATAAAGTTAACGTCAGTAATGACTTCCTGTTTCTTATTTTTGTTTGTTGGATATTCCAGGTGTTTGTTGAATTTAAAAACCCTGGTGATGCTGATAGGCTCGGAGTTTGGTACAGCTTCCTCAGACGGCGTCTTCCCCACAGCGTTCACAGGACTGGTCTGCCAGAAGGCATTAAAACAGCAGAATGTAAGACATAACACGATTAAGAAGTCTGACTTTCATTTAAAATGCAATGTTTTTAGGCTGTTCCCTCTTCAGTGGTTGCCACAGTGAGTCATTCTCCTTTTAACTCTGTTCTAGGAGATATATGTTGACGTCAACAACATGTATCTCCTTTTTGGCCTTCGACTTGTCTTTTTCCTGGCAGTTTAATTTCTAACATCCTTCTCTCAGTATAACCACTGTCCCACCTCTGCACGATCCTGATACTGTGAGATCCAAATACTGCGTATGTTTATATAAAATAGGGCTGAAACACATAACTAGTATAGAAAAACCTGCAACAAGAAATTGTTTATTCCATGTACAACTCAAAGGGGTGACTGTTTTATTGATCAAATGCTTGGTGACTAGACTCAAACGGTATTTACCTTGACCAGCTGCTTCTGGTCACCAGCTGAACTGGCGCTCAGAAATGTGTCGAGGTTTAAATGAGATTGCCGAGATTAAAGTTGAAATGTCGAGGTTGGAGTCAGTATTTTGAGTTTAAAGTAAGCTCGTCAAGGGCAGGAGTCTAAATTTTTAAGGTAAGAGCCAATACGTCAAAGGTAAGAGTCGAGGCGAGGAGTCAGTACGTGGGAGCTACGGGATGGTACATCGACCATGGGTGTCAGAACGTCGAGGTTAGGAGTCGGTACGTGGGGGCTTGGAGTCGGTACGTGGGGGCTTGGA